ACCATCACCGCGCCCAACAGGACGCTCTGCAGCGGGACAGCGAGAGGACGGAAGGGCCGGTTCCGGAGGTCCGTTCCGAGGGGCTGCCCCGCCCCCCGCGGCCAGAGACGCGGGCCGACCGCCTGAGCCGCCTGATGGGCAGGACCGGGAGGAGGACATCACGGGCAGCGTGGGCTCCGGACAGAGTCTGAGTTCATGGCAGCAGTTGCTGTGGACCGAACGCTCGTCTCCCCGCTCCCCCCGGACCTTCGTGCGTTAAAGCCTCGTCCCGGAGACGGCATTGGGAGGGGGGCCTCATAGGACCAGCGCCCTTGTTTCTACAAGAGACTCGGGTTCCCTCGTCCCTCCCACCGCCGAGGACACGGCGCGAAGGGAGCCATCACCGCGGCTCCACCAGACACCGCCGGACACCGCGCCTGCGGGGGCCTGGACGGGCTCCCAGCCGCCAGCACTGACACGTAAACCGCAGAACCGTTTGTGGTTTATTTTGTTATTTTATAGCAGCCCAGACGGACAGCGAGGATCGTGCCAGCGTTCATGCCCTCGCCTGGACTGTTGTGCTAAAATTACATAAGATGCGCACATCAGGGGAAGCTGGGCAAAGAGTAAATGGAACTCTGCTTTCTGTATTTTTGCAAAATACAGGTGGGCTAGGGTGGCTTCACCCCTCCCGGGACAGATGAGCAAGGGACATGCAGCATCAGGGCCGACCCTCGTGTCTGAGAAACGGCAGGCTGGTGAGAGGCTCGATGGATGTCTCAGGATTCGAACCTGCAACCTTGCGGTGCCCAGGACGACGCTCCAACCAGCTGAGCCGCCGGCCAGGGCCACCGTCCGTCGTCCAGGGCAGATGGACCATGTGATGTCCCTACCGTGAGTGTGAGTGAGAGTCCGTATGCGCTCAGCACTTACTGGGTTAGCCAGGGAACTCGGTGTCCCCGACAGGCCCCTCCTACACGGAAAGGTGGGCAGGAGCTTCCTGTGGCAGGAGTTGGCCCGCAGGGGGCGGGGCCGCTGGAGACCTGCCCTGGTGCCAGGCTGAGGAAGGACTTCCTGGGACACCCAGCCACGGCCGCCCAGGGGCCAAGCCAGCTGCCAGCTGCCTGCCTGGCGTCGGAGGGAGCAGTTGTTCCCACCCCACTTGGCTGATCCCCTGCTGCCCGCCCCACCCCGCCGCCTCCGCCTCCTCCTTCCTCCTTCCTCCTTCTCTGCCTGCTGAAATCTCACTCCCGGTGCCTCTCTCCCCGCTGCCCACCTGCCTTCTTGTGCTTTCCAAGCATTTCAGTGAGGCCGTGGGGAGACGGGGAGAAATTGTGCGGTCTCTTCACCGGGCCTGGTCTCCGCGGCCCGAGGAGAAAGTTTATGGGTAGTTCACACCGTCTGCCCGTCTATAAAAATAAGCACAAGTGTTCACAGCAGAGGGACGGCACAGACACGAGCATGTTCTCAACATTTACCCCAGTGGTGGGTCAGAGTGATCTCGGGTTTTTAACTTTTTAAATAGTTGCACGTTTCCTAGACTGTGGCCATGAGGGGGCAGTTGGCACAGCAGCTGAAGCTCCGGCTGTGGCATCACAGGGATAAATCCCCCCACTCTGAGCAGAGTGGGCACCCCACCCGCAGCCTCGGGTCCTCACCTGGAAGAATGCACCCAGCCAGGCCCACCAGGCCGTGCTCCTAAATGTGAGCCATTGTTTCTCTGTCAGTTTTAAGATGAGAAACACACAGGCTTGTGGTGTGGCTCAGTGGATAGAGTGTCGGCCTGTGGACTGAAGAGTCCTGGGTTCGATTCCCGGTCAGGGCACATGCCCAGGTTGCAGGCTCGATCCCCAGTAGGGGGCCTGCAGGAGGCAGTCGATCAGTGATTCTCATCATGGATGTTTCTATCTCTCTCTCCCTTCCTCTCTGATATCAATAAAAATATATTTTAAAAAACCAAACCTAATGAGCTTTGTGCCAGGGTTGCTTCTCAGCCCAGTTCCCCCGGAGACGCTGCAGGCCCCCCGCCCTCCTCACACAGAA